TTTTAAAATTGAAGCAGTTTTCTGGGCATGGTGACATACGCCTGTAATCCCAGCAGTCAGGAGGCTGAGACAGAAGGATGGCTGTGAGTTCAAGAACAGCCTGAGCCACATAGTGGGACCCTGTCTCAAAAACAAACCAAATTTTAAAACAAAAATTTAAACAGAATCTAACAGACTTGTCATTGGAGAATCCGGATTTTGAGGTATGTGCCCCAGTGAAAAAACCCAGCTAGTATTAGGGGTGGACATACTGCTGGGACATGGTCAGAGAATTCCACCGATATGCCCGGTAAAGACAGTGATCTGTGACTGAGCAGGTCTTGGGATGCTTTCTTCATGATCCCCTAAGCGTCTAAGTCCCCAAACAACTTGGCACTCACCTGGGATGATCAGCAGTGGACATATCAAGCGCTCTCCCTGGGCCACTGGGCTCACTGTGGCCCGATGGCCTGGGAACTCAGTTTGTCATTCTGGCCACCCATTGTGAAAATGTCTCATGACATAGGTGTCATACTAACCTCTGAGTGACATAGTTGTTTGAAACCCACCAGGAGGCTCTTCAGGGACACAGAGAAGGGACCTCAGTCTCTACAGGGTACAGGAGCCTAGTGCATTTGTAAAATTCTGGAAGTCTTGTGGCTGGGTAAAAGGGGCATGACGCCTGATAGGACACCAAGGAAGCTTTGCAGCAGCCTGCACCAACAAATGGAAAGTAGTGGCAGGCATGCATGGGATTTGTGGAGCACTGGCTCCTTCTCATGTCCTGTGTCAGTCAAGCTACTCACCTTCTAGACACGTTGATAAGGGGGAACCGCTTTCTGCAGTGCCATGGCAGCACCCCAAACTGAGTCCAACTACCGGGTGGGTGATAAACTTCCCTATGCAGTTAAGAGGGTGTCCACCCCGCCGGCACAGCTTGTGTCTAGAAGTCCCCCCAGAGCCTTGGGGGGGGGTGGCTTTTACAGAGATGGACAGATCTAGGGTGTGTGATGCTGGGATGAAGGGTGTGTGATTTCTTAACAGTTCTGGGTAAAATCAAGGGTTGTGAGCACCTGGATAAAAATATAAGGAGCTGGAAGCGAGCTGCAGTTGTCTCTTGTTGCTTGCTTGCTGCTTGCTGTCATCTGCCTGCCCTGCTTTGCCATGAACTATTTCTCCTCTGTGAGGCCACCCTGCCTTGGAGCCAGCTGACTACGGAATGTAAGCTCTATGAATTGTGAGCAAAATAAACCTTTTCTCCTTTAACTTTGAGTGTCGAGTATTTTGTCTCAGCAATGAGAAAAATAACTATGACACCCCCCAGGTTGGAGTAGCCTTATGGAGGAACCACAGATAAGATGGGCCTTCCTTAAGGTGATTTAAGTGAACAAACATGTAAGTGAATTGTGACCCAGGCACACTTCCCTGGGTACATGTATTCTTCATTGATGTTTGTGCTTCTTTTTGGCCTGTCAAAAATCAGCAAAGAATTTAGATTTCTGGGGAGGTTGGGTAAACTCCACTTTGTAAGTGTGAGGGCTGGGGCTGCTGGGCTCTCCCCTTGGGACTGAAGGGTATTATCTGTGGTCAGGACTCTCCGAGAGGTGGGCTGGCTGCAGGACACCAGTGCCGTGTGCTTCACTGCAGGTGTCTGGTAGGAAAGGCAGGAAGCTTGAACTCCTAGGGGGTCCCAGAGCTCAGTGGACCTCTGTCCTCCTGCAGAGATGACCTCAGGAGAACCCAATCCGTGTGCTCACCGTAGTTCCCGCAGAGCACCATGGGAAATGCCTTGCCAATCCTGCTGACTTCACTGATAACTGGAATCAGCAGGCATGGTGATGCACGCTGATATCTCAGCACCAAAGAGGCTGAGG